AAACTTAACTGGGTTGAAGCTCTACCGATTGTATTGTTCAACCTCAGGTCCACTCCAACTAAATCACTAAATGTGAGCCCACATGAAATCCTGACAGGGAGAAAAATGCCCTGTCCTCTCACTGTTATGCCCAGGGATTCAACACCTCTTCTTTTGCAGCATGCTGACATAAGTGAATATGTCAGGTGGCTGAACAGCGCCGTGATGAGTCTCTCTGAACAGGTGGTCGAAATCCTGCGCAGAGACCAAACTGAGGAGCTGACCTCAGTGGACAGCTGGGTCTACCGCAAGGTGCACAAACGTCACTGGCACGAACCGCGGTGGCAAGGACCCTACAAGGTAGCAGAAAGCACCACACACTGTGTTAAACTGTGGCTCACTGATAACAAGTTAAGTAACTGGATCCATAAAACACACTGCACACTAGCAGAGGATCCCACTGATTCTACCAGTATGGGTTTACACTTTTGAATAGTGATATTTAAAGCTGTGTATGATGGGTAACACATAGACTATAATACAAATAGTTTAAATTTAAGTTTAAACTACATCAGTAAGCATTCTGCATTACACAAACAACTCCAGCATGTTGCCGTGATGGGATGCCGCCTGTGCAGTGGGTCCAGTCCTGAAACTTGCTCGATACCAACTATTCCTAACTTCATGTGGCCCTCAGAGTGGCCCCACCACAGGGCGTGGAGAGCTTCATGAAATGGGGTTCCATGGCTGAACAGCCACATCCAAGCCTGACACCACCAAGTGCGATGCAGAGCGTCGGATTATGAGGTGAAGTTGCTTCTCAGGAACTGGGCTCAGCCCCTTTAATCCAGGGAAAGGAGCTCTTGATGCACAGTACTGAAGACCTAAGGTCAGAGCTTTGGAAGCTCAGAGATATGCCGTACAAGGGAAAAGAGCTCTTGATGCTTCAGCATAACAAGACATTTTGGACAGTCTCATGCTCCCAAGGGAGTGAGTTTGAGGTGGAAGAATTTGACTGGCCTGCATAAAGTCCTGACCTCACTGGTGTGCTTCTGGAGGAGTGGTCAAAATTCCCATTGACACACTCCTGGACTTCTCCAGTGCTTTTAACACCATACAGCTGGGACTTCTGAGGGACAAGCTGGAGCACAAGGGGTGGACCTCCAGCTATCAAACTGGATTCTGGACTACCTCGCCAACTGACCACAGTATGTGTAGGCACGAGACTGAGTTTGAAATGGTAGTCTGCAGCACAGGGGCCCCACAGGGAACCATCTTGACACCATTCCTTTTCTCTCTGTGCGCTGCAGATTTCATGTATAGCTCACTAAACTATCACTTGCAGCTGCACAATTCAAGTCAGTCAAAACATATGGAAAGCATGGTAAACAAAACAGAGAGGGCTAAACTTAATGACAATGAGCATGTTTATATTTAAACAGGCACATGAAAATATATTGTACAACAGTTTTCAGTGAGTTGAATTCCCTGTTTAGAAAGTATACAGTTGATGGTGTGTGTCCTTTTAAATCCAGATCATTTATTCTTCAACAGCCCTGGGTTTCATGTTTTGCACACTTGTGTTAACGACTGAACAATAGTTGGAAAAATATTAAAAACTTTTTGAAGTACATTCATGGCATGTGTCCCAAACAGACAGCATCCGCTGATGAAATTAATCAAAACAATGATTCAGGAAAACACTAGATGGCAGCAATTCACTATCTAAGTTTTATACAGGCCCAGTATTTGGGTTTTCATACACTACAAGCTACAGGCTACGTGGTACTCTAATTTGGATGTATCAATTAGGGAGTAATTGAAATCACATTAAGAAAATATTCTTAATTGATTTTGCACAAATGTTTGTGAACTAAATTATTTGATATGTTAAAAACATTTAAGTAACCCATAATATGTGTCATTTTCATTCAGGCAGTCATTTTGAAGGAAAATGTAACCTCTGTCTCTAACAAGTATGTTCCGATTTAGATTCAGTACTAATTTGTTTGGATCCAAAGCACTTCCTCTGCAGGGCTACATCAACATGTAACTGGAAAAACAACAACTGTGAAAATGGGGATGAGAGACCTTTTCTCTTACCACCAGGTCAGAACTGCGACACCCATTGGGGCTGTAACAGTCATGATCAGTGGTCGCAGCCAGTCACCAGGAAGGCAAACCCAGCCAGCAGCATGTTGCCTACAGACCAGGCCATACTGCCCAACACACCGATAAACGGCCTGTGACCGGTGTCCACCCAGTCGATGCCTGCGAGGTGAGCAGGAAAAAACAGATGCCAAGACATAATAAATATTCTGCAAGAAGACTTGGTTTTGTAAACAGTGATGGAGGCAAGTCGGGGACCAGTTAGTTAAAAAAATGTCTCTGCACACAGCTGATCCGAACTACTCACTGAGAACTATTGAGTGTATGCTGATCCCCATCAGTCCAAACCCAGTGAGAAACCTCAGCACTGCAAACAGGATGTAGGAGTTTGCAAATGCATTGGCGAAGCCAAATGTGATCGCCATGATGTATGAGGCCAGAAGAGTGTTTTTCCTCCCATACCTGAGAAACACAATGGGCATCAGGTGATTTGAATGCATCAAGTTGAATTTAATTCGTTTTTACACTGATGAGTTTATTAACAAAACTTCCTGAAATGGGAACTCGAGTCCTGGTCCTTCTTTAAACATTCACTTAGTCTGAGAGGAAAATACAGTCTTTTCCTCTCTCCTTCCTATTTTTGATTACATATATTTCCTATTTGAATGCACAGTTTATTTTTTATTTTTGTCTTATTTTTGATTTTTTTTCTTCTTATTTCCTCTTGAACTACGTGAAATTTGAACATTTGTGTCACCACAGTGTCACTGAAAATTCTGACTGTAGGGGAGACACTCTTTATGCCCATACTTATCACAGAGGTATCAAATGCTATGGCTCTATTTTTTTTCTTATTTCCTCTTGAACTACGTGAAATTTGAACATTTGTGTCACCACAGTGTCACTGAAAATTCTGACTGTAGGGGAGACACTCTTTATGCCCATACTTATCACAGAGGTATCAAATGCTATGGCTCCCAGCATCACTCCAAGGAAAAAGATTGTTCTTGTTGTGTTTGTCAGGCTTTTTCTATCGCAGACAAGGTCCCACTGACAAGCAGATCACAAAGAAAATGTAATTAGATGATCTATTTAGGTACCAGTTTTCTGCTAGCCCTTAGGTGCATCTATTATCTGTAAAACTAAAATCTGTGTGTGTGTGCATCTTTTCTCCATCACTAATGTTATTTAATGCACTGTTGATGTAAATATCTGCTGACTTAGGTCCTACCACTCATTCATAAAGGTTGTTAGTGATAAAACAGTGGCTGTACCTCTGATGCCAGGGTGGAAGTGAAGGTGGAGCTGTCATAAACTCATCCGCTCTGTGGGAGAACTGTGGGCAGGTCAGTGCTGTTGGAGCTGTTGGATAAGAGCTCAAAGTGATGCTCTGCAAACATCTCACAGGACTTTGGGTGCCCATTTCCTCCCACAGGAACACTAAATGTCAGTCTCTTCTCCTGAGTTCAATTTCTGAAAAGTCCGCCACCATCCAGGGTGCTGATGTCACAGCGGTGAGGAGGCACCGCAGCAATGAAGTTGTTCAGCAAGAAGTGACGGGAGAACTATTCGAGGGGCACAGAGCAAGACGATGATGACGATTTGGAAAGGCCCAAAACCATCTATCTCCTCCAGGATATTCTCAAACTGCATCCCCATAGTGCTTGTGGCTGCTAAAAGAACAGATTTAGATTTGCTCTAAGTTGACAGAAGTAAACCATAAAATCAACAATGTGGAACAAGTGTCACTATCACTGAAGAAGCAGAATTAGTCACCTGTGTCCAAAAGGACTAATGCACTGCTGCAAAACCTGATGTCTGCAGACAACAGATGCAGCAATATAATAAAAAATATACAAGAATATAACAGAATGTATGCTACATGGGAGCACCATGTGCAGCAGTCAACAGTCCATGTGTAATTATGCATGTGCAAACTGAGAATGTAAACAGTACAACACATATTTCCTGGTAATAAACTCCTCAGCTGTTTAGGAGTCTGATGGCAGAGGGAAAGAAAGAGTTTTTCAGTCTGGAGGTCCTACACTTTACACTTCTGAACCTTCGACCAGAGGGTAGAGAAGTGAACAGTTCGTGCTGGGGGTGGGTTGGATCTTTGAGGGTGGAGGCAGGTTTCCTGCGCA